AAAGTGCGACTCTTACAATATCTTTTTTTTTTAAATTATAAATTTACGTTGAGTTTAGTAATCTTGTATTTTTATTTAAGTGAAAATTTAATTAAAAAAATATGTAGTATATTGTTCTTAGAAACTAATGTTTCACTTTAAGTTTTGTTTTTTTGTTTAAAATTTTGCATATATAATAACATAAATTTAGTTTTATTCTACCATGCATTTAAATTTTACTTTCCTTTTAAAATTCATTAACACATTTAAAAATTTGAAGTATGATCAATTTAAATTTTTGTATATTAAAATTGGAATTATATTATTACTACTAATAAAATTTTCATAGTATTATTTTTGTTATTTTACATCTCATTTATTTGCATAATTTGTTTTTTATTTATTTGAATATTTTATTAATTATAAATAACATAAATATGCACTAAATGAATGTTTTGAATTTATTTACCTGTCATTTATTTACATAATTCATTTTCTATTTATTTAAATATTTTATTAATTATAAATAATATAAATATGCACTAAATGAATGTTTTGAATTTATTTAATATTAAATAAATAATGTTGTTTAGATGGATGTTTAGGTTAGGTGGACATTAGATGGAGAGAAGACTCTCCTATTATATATAATATAGATTTCATGGAATATATACATCACTTCCATCTTAAATAAAGGTAGACGAATTGAAAACACAAAAAGGCCCAGTGGAGTGGAGGACAAAAAAGAGAATCAGATTCGAAATTATTGTTATTGGGCCTAATGGGCCTTTTCTTTTTTCACCTGCTTTATAATTCCCACACAACATCCTCTCATTTACACACACCAACGTTGATTCTTCCTCTCTCTTTCTCATCTCTCGCGAAGACGAAGCCCAAAAAATGGCAGATCAGCTCACCGATGATCAGATCTCTGAGTTCAAGGAAGCTTTTAGCCTATTCGACAAAGACGGAGATGGTTCTCTTCTCTCTCAGATCTTTCCTCTTTCGATAATTTTGATCTATAATCATTGCTTCACTTAGTATTATTTAGTAATGGCTTTAGGAATTTGATGCTTTTCGTTGTTCATAGAATCTATGGATTTGACATTAACACGATATTTGGTGATTTCTTGATCGTTCGTTGATTATAATCGCAATTGGATCTATCTCGTTGATAATCTCAAACTTAATCGAGTTTTCGTTTTCCAGATTTTACTAATAGTGATTAGAATGACTCAAATATTTGAATCAATGGATGTGAATTCAATAATCGAAGAAATTTGAAGATTTTGTGTTGAATTGATTCAGTTATTTGAGTAGATTATGAAATTTGTGTTAAATTGATTCAGTTGTTAGAGTTAATTACAATAACATTTGAAGATTTGGTGTTTTATTAAAGTAAATTACAATGAAATTTGAAGATTTTGTGCTAAATTGATTTGAGTCATTAGAGTAAACTATAATGAAATTTGAAGATTTGGTGTTAAATTGATTCACTGATTTGTGTAGATTAGATTTGGTGTTAAATTTGTAGCTGATTTGAGAGAAATGTGTTGGTTTTGTTTAAGGTTGCATCACGACGAAAGAGCTAGGAACAGTGATGAGATCATTAGGTCAAAATCCAACAGAAGCAGAGTTACAAGATATGATAAACGAAGTAGATGCTGATGGTAACGGAACCATAGACTTCCCTGAGTTTCTCAACCTTATGGCTCGGAAGATGAAAGACACTGACTCTGAAGAAGAGCTCAAAGAAGCTTTCAGGGTTTTCGATAAGGACCAGAATGGTTTCATCTCGGCCGCGGAGTTAAGACATGTTATGACTAATCTTGGTGAGAAGTTAACTGATGAAGAAGTTGATGAGATGATCAAAGAAGCTGATGTTGATGGAGATGGCCAGATCAATTATGAAGAGTTTGTCAAAGTTATGATGGCAAAGTGAGGAACTATTCTCAATCTTTTATCTCTTTCTTTTTTAAGATTTGAATTGAACAACTTTGATTTTGCTTTATTCCTTGTTTGACTGTTCATTATTATGCATTCGTTCCAAATTTCATGTTATGAGCTATTGTGTGACTTTGGGTTAATTATTTGTTTGGAAAAATATTTTAAAATGTATTGGTTTTTTCTTGTGAACTACCATTGAAACGGTCGTTGAAAAAGCTATCTCTTGCTATTAGTGGCTTTTGTTTTTTGGATCAAAACTCTTGCTATTAGTATATTTTGAATAATATTTAAGGGGAAAGTGTCGAAAAAGATTTCATATTTCGATGAGTTCTATAACTAAGATGATTATTGTGTGGTTATATTTGTAGGGAAAATGTCGGAAAAACATTCTAATATTAGATGGGTAAATTCTAGAATGCTAATTTCGAAAGTTTAGGTGGTTTAAATTTTAAATCATAAAATTTCTTTGTTATAAAACTAAATTAAAAAATATTGGTCAAATCCTTTTTTTTGGCATTAAAAAGGTTGGTCACTAAAAAAATGTTGGCAACTCAACTCAAATTCATATTCGATTTTCATATCATACGATTCACATAATGCAATATATTTTAAGAAGATAAATAAATGTACACATATAAAAAAATATAAAAAAATATAAGTAAAAAGCATAACCTCCATTTTATTTTATTTTTCTTTCGAAATTCCCAGCTCTAATTTTCTTTTTTTTCAACTTCAAATTTCAGCTTTGTAAATAACATTCTTCTTTGTTGATACAATAAATTTAAGATTTTCTTTATCAAAAAAAAAAAGATTTAAGAACAAATAAAAAGCATACCTATACTTTTTCATGTGGATGTAATTGTATAAATAAAAAAGCAAAGATATGTTTAGGAGAATAAAATCATATATGGATGGTAAGCAGCAAAAGCCATTTACAGTTGAAATGAGAATCTCAAAATATGACTGAACCTTTTTTTGGTAACCATTATTTACTTCTTTTTCTTTTAAATATTATCGAATCTTGATACCTAATTCTTTTAAAATGTTTTGTAATTTATTAGGAGAAGAGGGAAGAGGGTTATGACAACTAAGCGTAGTAGCAATTCCACTGAATACAGAGACAAGAACGGTCGCCGGAAAAGTCACTGCCGTATTCTCTGAGCTCCGACCATTTTCTTCTTAATTCCTTTACTTTATATGCTTGTGTGTAATAATAAGAGATTTGTACTTGTTTGAATATATTAAATATTTACTACATTGTTATGTTTTCAAAATATTGTCTCTTTATCCGAAAAAATTTGAATCCATATATTTAGTTGATTTAGGCATTAGGCATTTCATATCTATCACAATGTTTAGTTTTCGTCTACAACTTACACACGTATACTATCAAATTTGAATCTAAGTTATGATACAACGACAATTCACTATACAAAACACTATTGTAGATACACCAGGTGTAACTTGTAATTGACTAATACTTTGGCGATCTAAGAGCATGATTATCCATAGTGTCTTAGAAATAAATCTTAAGAATATTTAAGTAATATATTTGTAAAATATGGATCTTAACTATGTTTTTGTTGCTTAGCTAAGAAACTCTCTTAGCAATAATGGCTTAATTGAGATTTAATTTTAATCATTTATTGCTAAGATCAAGTTTAAGATTTTCTTAAGAACCTGCCATTAATCATGGTCTAACTACTCTAATTTGTAAGTTGATTTAGGCCTTAGGCATTTGGTATCTACACAATGTGGGTATATGGTCTAATTCTTGTGAGATGATCGATATAATCAAATAAAGAAAATACAGTTTTAGGAATTATCCTAAACTTCTTTTCATAAAGCTTTTTTGTTTTATGTTAATTTGTTTTCAGAACCAAAAAAATGTGTTGGCCCCTATATGAGTTTGGGTTTCTCTTCTTTAGTTCTTTTACAAGACACTTTCTCTTGATGAAGTAAGGCTAAAACACAAGATTGCAATCAAGATAGAAACAAGACACATCCAAAGTAAAATTGTAGTAAAGTTTCGGAGACGAGCTTGAGCTTGAGCTTGAGCAATGAGTACCTCGCAGACATCGGGAGCTGAGGGAATAGGGAGTACTCGTCTGGGAGCGTCCGGTCGACCATTCTTCTAAAGCTTCTTTGGAGCTCCTTTGTGTATTAGTGTTTTGTTCAATGATCAAAAAATACTATTCCAAAAGATTTGTTCGTCGCTTAAGAGTCTTGAATCTCATTGGTCATTCTTCTCGTTGACTCTTTCATACGTCGCTTCTTACTTAATATGAACATTTGTTTCATTATCAAATCAATCAATGCAAACTCTGCATGAATTATCTTAGACCGATTAACCATGCAAACTTTGATTACGAATATTAATCAAAATACTAGTTTATAACACCAACTGCATTCAAACACTTTGTGTTACTTAGTAACAAAAACATTAAAACTTCTACCAATTTGAGATTCAACAACCAATATCGGTTAATCGGTTATATGAAGACAAATCCATCGCCTATATTAATTGGTCAAGTATTATCCTCATATATATATGCAACTAATTGTTCCCTTTCTCAATGATACTTTCATTCCATTTGTATGGGACAAAATTTAAATCTTATGGATAAGAAACAAAAAAAAAGGAAAAAGAAGTGTGTGAAAAAGGTCATGCATCTACATGAAGTGAAGCTTTAGAGTTCATGCAAAACGCTTTAGCAACTACATTTCAATATTTTAACTAGTAAGTTCTCTTCAAAACATTCTATAATTAATTTATAGACTGGGGATTATTATTAACATAAAATACATCTAGCTATTTTCAATTTAACATGGCAATAATATCCAAAGATAAGAATAGAATCCATGGCTTTTTGAGTAATTTTCCTCTTATGCAAGTAATCCTTTCCTTTCTCTACAATATTTTTCATTCCATAGTTCATTATTAGATAAAGCTCCAATTATGAGGGACAAAATGGAATACTTCTAGACCTAAAATAATGGAAAAGTTCTTTGAACGGGCCAATAAATTAAAAGATTTCTATAAAAGATAATTTGTTAGAGAAGGAAATTAAAGCAAAAAAGATGTGTGTGAAGAAATCTCATGCATATACAATGAAGTTGAAGCATTAGGGTTCATGCAAAAATTTTATGCTCATCGGCTATAAATATATCTTCAAGAAAACAAAAATAAACAAAAGATAGAATAACAACAACAAAAAAAAAAAGAGAAGATGGGGAAAAATTTATGGGCATTAATATATGTAACAATGATGATATTAATAATAGTTGAAGTGGAATCAAGTCTTCATAGAGTAGGCGGAGGAAGATACACTTGGAACTCCGACGTTAACTTCTCCGATTGGGCCAACCACCAACGTTTCTACTCCGGCGACTGGCTTTGTTAGTAAAATTTCTTCTCTCTTTTTATTTCTCCCATTTTCTTCTTTGTTAATCCTTTTTCTGACTAAAACATGTTTCTAAAATGGGCAGATTTCGGGTTTAATCGCACGCGTCACAACATCCTTCAAGTAAACAAGAGTAGCTACGAGCAATGCGTCGACAACGATTACATATTCAACATAACAAGAGGAGGACGAGATGTTTTTCAACTCCTAGAACCAAAGCCTTACTACTTCATTTGTGGTAGAGGTTATTGTCACAAAGGTATGAAGTTTGCCATCAACGTCCTTCCTCAACCATCACCATCAGCTCCAACCAATCTCGCCTCAACCACCACTCATCTCATACCATCAAATGCTATCACCGCAGCCATTCTCATTTTCACCTTTAAAGCTTTACTACTTTGACTATGCTTATGTCATTTGTTTGTTGAGTTGGGTTCAATGTATGAACTATAAAAAAGTTTGGGACACTTTTCCAAACTTCAAAAGTTTTCACTTCAGTAAGTCGCAGATCTATACTTTTGACCAAGCTACGTCGTTTGTTTTGGTTTCATTTATACACTACACAATAGGCTTTTGCTTTAACTAGGTTATGTCGTTTGTTTTCAATGCAAGAACTAATTAGACAAAAGAGGACACTTCCTGAACTTAGATATTCACTACAATAAGTCTTTAACCAAACAACCGAATAGTTAAAAGGGGCAAAAGCATATTCAAACCCCAACAGGCAAACAAGGCTGGCGATAATAGTCACAAAAAACATACCAAGCCTTAGTGTTTGATGCCTTAAACGCTTAAAAGCCGAGAGAGATCCTAAGGTAAAAGTCAGAAAGCCGATTTAACTACTACTACTTACTGAGCCAAGTAGGACTGCTCATTTAACAGAAGAACATGGAGTTGGCGACGTTGTCTTTGAGTTTTGGGAGCTGTGCAACAGAGATTGGTCCTGGAGCTGTGATTCCACCATGGCTTGATGATGTCTCAGACTGATCTTCAAACTTCATGAACGTCCCAAGCTGAGCAGCTGCCAAGTGAGCATAGCAGATCGGCGCAACTGCACAAGAATTAAAATGTCAGTTATTAAAAGAACATTGGGAGACTTTAAAAGCAATGGAGTAGAGAAACAAGTTATGGTAATTACCAACTGAAATGGCAGTGGTGCTTCTTTGGTACCTGAAATTTTGCCAAAGAAAGATATCAGATTTTTTCTGTGATCATCAGAATCAAAGTTGCACAAAACAAGTAATGAAGGTTGAGTGAGACTACATACACATAGGAGAGCGAGTGGACAAGTTCCTGAAGTTCATCAGGTGAAAAACCAATCTCATCATACAGGACATGGTAGTGCGTTGGACGGGTAGTTCCCTATTCAGAACATAAAGAGTGTTAAAACGATTCAGAACAGCAAATAATAGGAATCAAGTAATGAAGTTTTGAGATATATGAAACTTACAATCATTCCAGCGTGAGCACAGAGGTAGAAATCATTGTTCTTTGGGTGACATATTTTGTTGTCAATGATTGTCCCTGCGAAATAACCAAAACCACCATGAGATCGAGATCAGGTATGTGTCAAAAAAGGTTATAATAAAGATTTATCAATCACCTGGGGGAACATTATCAGGAGACGATGTCTGGAAGAACTTTGTATGATGATTCTTTTGAGCCACCAACAAGAGGAATTTTGGATTCCAATTTGCATCAAGGAGCTTGCAAGCCTGAGGAAAGAGAAATGCAATTAAGTACTAACAGAAGAAGAAAATTACGCTGAGAAACCTTTTTTTGTGACTATTTCAACTACCTCGATGATCTGATCGAGTTCGATATTCAGAACCTGATTGAATTGAGATTCACTCACACCATCCCTAGAAGCATTAAAATATCGAAACAACCGATATGAGAAAATAAAGAAGGGGAAAAATGAAGAGACAAAAGCTCTGATGTAACAAAGTAAATACCTGAAAATTATGATATGTTCTGGCTTTCTCTTATTCGAGCTGGTGTAGAAATCAACCAGCAACTCCCTGCAATCAACAAACAAAGTTACATAAATACTTCAAAACCAGACTTCATGCAAAGAATAAACAAAAACCACATTAAGAGTTAGTATAAGTGCACACTTGATGATGCCATCGTCTTCAGTTCCATTTTTCTTGAAAAGGGACTCAATCATCTCAGCCTTAGAAGGCTGTGTCCGAACAGATGCTCTATATTTGGAGATTAGTGGCCACTCCCTCGAACTCACCACCTAAGTAAATCATAACAATAGAGACAACTAAAGATCAGTCTTGAAGAATTAGCCAAATCAAAAGGCTGATATAAAAGCAAACAATATATAAAAAACAGTAGAGAGTAAACATATTACAGCAGCAATGGACGGGACATCAGACTGTCCAGGAGATCCATGTGAAACATCCATCCCAAGGATAATGGTTGGAACCTTGGAAATCACAGTGAAGGCAGGTGTACGCTCTACACTTAACATTGAGTTCAGGCCTCCAAGCTGTAGTTATATGTTATCAGAGATTGCACACAAGAAGCAGCAAATAAACCATTTACAAAAGAGAAAAAAAGGACAGAGATCACCTTAGCATTAATCTTCAAAAGTAAGTTTGTAAGATACTGATCATTAGGTTGCCGCGTCGGGGCCATGCATTGAGTAACAATGCCGAATTCAGTTAAGTTTTTCTTCTTCCAGGGCCCTGATGAGGAAGTCAAAGTTTTTATCCAAGGAAACTTTTGTTATATAGACCAAAGAAGATGTTAAAAGACTGGATTAAAGATATCTAACCGTAGAGATCGCAGTTCTTTTTCTCTGGGAGCACACATAGTATGAATTGTGGGACACCAGGGAGTTTAGACTGGATGTCCTTAAACATGTTCTCAACACGATTCATAGGAGGAGCGCGGCGGAATTGATTACCCTCCTCAAACACTTGAAAGGGAGGAGCAATTTCCTGGGACAAAATACAGAAAGAATCAGTTAGCATCTAAACTGTTGATCATCACAAACAAGTTTTCAAGAATACGAAAAACAAAAGAAGAGAATTCTGCTTACAATTCCTTTTGATCCCCCAATTTTGATCAGATCATCAACAACTTGGCGTACATTACAGCGAGCGGAGAAATTGACAACAACCCATCGTTCAATTTTGGTGGGCTCAACAAATTGCTGTACAACAAAGGGAATCAGACTATCTGAACAGGTAAAATACAAAGAAAGGCAGAGAGAAACAGCACCTTGTTGTTGAAATTCCAGCGACCATTTCTGGGAAAGGTTTCAGATCCACATCCCATTTTCAGCTGTCAGTCAAAGAAAACAAGAGAATATTAACTGTATGCAAAAGCTGAAAACAATTCATCATGTCAAAAGTAAGCGATTGTACCATACCTTGGGAGCTGGTAGAACACGACCCTCCACCTGAGTAAAGTTGGAGCTGATCGAAATGCCACAGGAACGCAGGAGTGGTTCAGCATCATAGTTGCTAACTTTAAGAGCCTGAAAGCATGAAACCAAAGATAAATAAATTCCAGTTCACTGACAAAACACAACAGTCATGAAGAAGTCAGGATACTTTACTTTGGACAGAACAGTCATCCTCTCTTGGGGTTTCTGTCTGGATTTCTCAACAAGGGCAGATCTTTGGAATGTGTTAAGTGCTTTTGTGTACCTCTGAAGTGGAATCAAGGCGCAGAGCTGCAAAGATTCCACCACATTACATACATTAGCATGATTTTTGAAAACAAATTAATACCATGAGAACGTTGATGAGTAAAAGAGGTAAACCTCAAGAGGAATGTAAGTGGGTCGCTTTGGCTTCCCAACATTGATGCACGGAAGATCCGCAGAATATTGCAAATCAATATGCCTTATTTCGCGGAAGTAGTCAGCAACTGTCACTTCAGTAGTATCGAACTCTCCATTTTCATTTGGGTTCCTTTTCTTCAATTCAAACCTAGACAATGTAAAAAGCAAACTTCAGAGAACCATTTATCTTTGAAAGAGATCACAATGTCAGAAAACTAAAACAGAAACAGATGCATCTCACTACGAAGTCAAATTAGTGAATATCTTACGTTTGTTCCCTGCAAGGCTTGTCACTCAATCCGGTGATCCTGAATTCTTGGTTTGAGGGGCTGACCTTAACCCTTAGGTTCTTAAGGGTTCTTTTAGCCTGTTGAAAACAACATGTTAAAATGTGTCAAGCCAAGCAAAAAGGTAAGGAACATGTTTAGACCATGAAAAAGCCACATATCATAATAAGTAATTTACCTTAGACCAGTCAATCGAATAAGGATCCCTCGCATTTTGGTTAGCAATTAGGAAATCAACCACTGGACCAGGCTTGATGATCATGGTGGTTGTAACATCTGGCATAAGAACAAGACATAAACTATTAGACACTAAATCATTGCTACAAAAGACAGAATCAAACACCAACGTCAAGTACAAGTGAAATGTACCCATATTAAGTGACATGCCACCCTGCGTTGTTCTGAAACTGGAGTGAAATCCCCTACAGCCTAAGATGTTACCACCAACTTGTTCACAGTTACTTGGATCATTGTGGAAAAAAGACTGTCGAACAAGCAAGCAACCTCTGCAGTTTTTACCAAAGATATTAGAAAGACAAAAATATATGAGATAAAAATAGAATCTATACACTTGGCACTTACTGTCTAGCAGCATGTTGCCTCAATATGATATCAAGAACCCGTATTGCCTCCTGGGAGTTCTCTGATTCCTGTCCCCGCATTGCATTAGCAAGAGCTTGTAGAGGAATTTTGGCCGCATAGCTGATCTCAACTCTAAAGTTTTTGGACCGGTTAGGCCTACGCAGTCTTTTCCTATCACCATCACTTGGACTTTCATTCCCATTGGGGCTACCGTTTCCATTAGTCCTGCTCATAAAATCCTCAATAAGAACCAAAACTAAAGCACACAACCAATGTGATGGTTATAGTCAGATGATGTTTTACCTTGCAGCAGATACTTCCTCAAGCACCACAGAAAAATCCATCTTGTTATCAGGCAAAGCTCCATATGTAAACAGCGTCTTCTCACCATCATAAGCAAACTCTTTACCATCTAGATCAGAATGGTAAGTCTCATGCACCTTGTCAAGGATTTTTCTTCCAACACCCTTTGCTTCAACAGGACGACCATCATCATAGAATAGCGCAACCTGTACAAACCCACAATTAATCCCATTAGTTTGACATGATTCAGAACCAAATAACAGAATAAGCAAACACAGCAGTAACAAAAAACATACACACTGCTTCCATTAGTTTGACATCATAACACAACAAGGTAACTAAAAATGCACATAAAGTTTCAAAAACTTACACTGTAGTGGAAGAAATGGCCCTGAAGATTAGCCACATCGACTTTGAAATGATTAGTCAACAATGGAATCTTTTGTCCCCTTGTTCCAAAGCCTTTTCTAGCCATAGGAACTCGCAAGTTCTTCTTCTCAGCAAGTTCAGTTTTAACACGAACT